TCAAAGCTGAAACTACACGGCGTTACGTCCCCACAAAGCTGCTCTCGGTCTATTCTCTCATTCACGACCAGAATCCCTTTGTCTTTCTGCAGCTCGGTGTAGTGAACATTTTCTCCGGTCACGATACGGGCCCGCCCTGAGCGGAGCCTTTTCAGATCCAAGCCAAGATCCTGCGCCACATTACCAATAACAGAGCTTTTCTTCATCTCCTCAGGTATAGAATACCGAATCTGACCACCTACCATGTTAACCGCAAGAAGCAGCAACAGAAGCGATCCTATGCGACGTCGTACTCCACAAAATGATTCCCACCCTGCTGATATGTAATGTAGACGTCTTACAGGCGCCATTACTCAGACAAAAAAGGTACAAAGAAAGAAAAAATCGTCTCTTTAGGCAGTAACAAAAATACCCTAGTATACCAGTAGCTGGTTGGCTTATAAAATTGTTCTCAAGCGTTAAGCGGAAATCTGTGAGACTTCGTTCACATGAACCCTCGGCAAAACACAGATAGCCGTCCTCGCCGTGTGATTTCTGAGAGGATGGACTGAATGACAACATAACAGAGAAAATATTTCAGCGGCCAACAGCGTCCCTTAGAGTCTAAAAGGTAGAAATCACACGAGACTTGAATCTTTGTGACAACGATCTAAGCCGTGGGGATCAATATGAAATTACTTTCATTAATAAAATAATTTTTCACTGAAGAGTGTATACAACTAATAGTGAGTGGAAAAGTTAAATTGAGAACGATCTACCACAAACAAGAGAAGTTTTAATTACATTATCTACCAGCTGAACAACAGTGCCGAGAACCAGGGGAACAAAATCACTAGAATAGAACTGCTACTCTCAGAAAAGAAATGTAGATACAACAGTCGAAAGATCATGATAACCAGAAACTAAAATGATTCCCTGGCTTCAAATGCTTAGAAAGAGTAAAAACAATATCATCATAATTAAACAGGTTAAGCAAGTAGAGATGAGTAACAGAAAACATTTTTTTTTGTTTCTTCGCAGGCTTCAGGAAAAATAACGTTGCTCTTCAGAAATACGTAGCTGACTTACTTCTGCTTCTTTTTAGTATTTTAATTTGACAATGTCGTCTTTATCGTCTTATGGGGATGCAATAAGCAAGCACAAAACATTGCACAAACACCAGGAGTATGATCATTAATCTTTTCTCCAGCACAGCTTCAGTATATGAAATACTGGAAACTATTGGGAACTTTTAGGGAGAACTTTCTTTTAAAAATTAACTATGTAAGACCTTTTAAAAAAGCTTTTTAGGCCTACCTATATGCAGGTATATAGTTAGGCCTAAAAACTGAGACGCTGTCCTTGGTGCTGAGAAATGTGTAATGCTGCGGAAGATTTTCATTAGAGTAATTAAGTAAAGAAAGAAAATAAATATAGAAATATCCTCTAACTGACCTCTAGAGGAGAGTCTGGTTCATCCAGGATGCTCTTTTCACTCTGTATCCGCTGCATCGTTCCTGTAGAACTGGGGTCCATTATCAGCACGTTCTGACTACCAGCTCTGCCGAACTTACAGTCACTCTTTCTGGAGTCAGTCGTCCTGCACACCTCGTAATTGTACACATGTGGCAGAGTCCCTGTCCCCAAAGTGTCTGAGTAACGTGGTGGATAATATGGAATGACAGGCAGGTTGGAGTGATACAGGATGCGAGACTGTCTCCACCTGTAGATTTTGACTGATATAATAACCACTAAACACGTGATGAAGAGGAAGGAAACTACAGCCAGAGCCAAGACTAAGTAAAAAGTCAGGTTGTCATTGTACTCCTTGTCGTGGGTCAACTCAGTGAACTCCGACAGCACTTCAGGGAAGCTGTCCGCCACCGCCACGTTAACAATGACTGTAGCTGAACGAGAGGGCTGCCCGTTGTCCTCCACTATAACAGTCAGTCTTTGTTTGACAGCATCTTTATCAGTGACTTGGCGGATAGTTCTGATTTCTCCATTCTGTAAGCCCACTTCAAACAGCGCCCTGTCTGTGGCTTTCTGCAGTTTATAGGAGAGCCAGGCATTCTGTCCAGAGTCCACATCAACAGCCACCACTTTAGTCACCAGATAGCCCACATCTGCTGAACGAGGCACCATTTCAGCCACCAGAGAGCCACCAGTCTGGACTGGGTACAGAACCTGAGGGGGGTTGTCGTTCTGGTCCTGGATCATTATTTTCACAGTCACGTTGCTGCTGAGTGGAGGAGAGCCTCCATCCTGCGTT